TCCTATATTTGATTATTTTTATATTCAAAGAATCTGAAGGGAATGAACAGTTCTATATCAAAAATGGGTTTCATTAATAAAAGAGAGATCTAATCTTAAAGATATCACCTCTACTTTAATATGGTATCTTCTCAAATATTATATACAGTAGTGCTCCTTAAAGATACAACTATGCAACAACACTGAGGGTGAATTTTAATAAGACCAGTGTGATCATTTTAACAGTAAAAAATTAATGTTCATTCTTATCTAGCCTTGGCCTTTCATGATAAAGAGGTAGCAGAGATTGCATATTAGTGGGGTTATTGTACTGTTTCAAAAGTTTCAGTGATTCAGCAATGTGCTATGTATAATCAGTCAACACTAATTATTACCACCATGAGCTAGTCAGACAAATTTTTAATTAATTAAATATATATGATGAAAATTAATCACACTCAACATTCATATGCAAACGGTGCTATCTTGTTTTTCTTGCTTTAATGCACGCAGAGTAAATGTCAAAAGTATTTTTTATATACACTTCATATAAACAAAAGTTTTGATCACTCATTTCACACATTTCCTCATTGGTTTTGCAACATCTTTCCACTTCCTTACTCAGCACATAAGTTTGGAAGACGTGCAGTGCAAGTGCGCATTTGGATTAATAACTTTAGAGTTAAAGATACAGGAGAATCTCCTTTCTCCAAGAAAAAATAGTTTCCCACAGTGCATCAAAATATTGCCTACTTTGGAAAATAAATCTGTTTTTTTTTTATCAATTAAAATATTATATAAAGATAACATCTTTGCCATCCTGTAATACTGATGATGATCTTGAATATATTGTTAATATATTTATAATTTTGGAAAAAATAAAACAACTTAATTGATGAACAAATAAAGAAGATGGAAAATAATACATTTCTGATGGTAATTCTCTTACATTTCACAGCATTCTCCTGGAAAAGCTGGCAACGCATGTCTTAAGTAGGTGTACTCTTCACTGGGTAAAGAACTGACCGGATGATCAGGCCCAGAGAGTGATGGTGAATGGAGTTAAATCCAACTGGCAACTGGTCATGAGTAGTAGCAAGAAACCTGACAGTACCATAGCCTTCCTTCTAAAGCACCAATAGCTCATATTTGGTTCTCAGATCTGTTTTGCTAACACTTTTTCAGTATGAATCAAGGTTTTCATAACTGTTATTCCGAGTATGTAAGTGTGACATGGAAGTCACACTTGTGAGAGTCTGGGCCACAGCAAAAGATATTGCCAATATCAGACATTAATAATAACAAGAACAATAACTGGAATACTGGAAAATGATGCAAAAAGAAGCAGTCAACATATCTCTTATATCTAAACTTTAGCCCTTGTTGGAGGGCACCTGGAAATTTTGTGTGATAAAATGGTCTTTATAGTAAGGTACAATCTGAAAAACCTAAAGCATTTTTCCCCCTGAATGGAATAGGGAAATATTAAAAAATTATGAAGGACATTAGAGTTTTTGGTTTCTGTTATTGTTATCAAATGTTGTACTCCTTTTAAGTTCTGGTTATATTTTATGCTAAATTTTCATAGACTAGAATCCAGCACAATCAATGTTGTATCAATTTTAAAGTAAGCTTTTCTGGTTCTAGTCAGTTTTGAATGGCGAAATTTCTTGCATGAGAAATTCAAAATAAAAATGAAGAAAATTATGCAGGAAGCAAGGCACAGTTGGTCTAGATCATGGGGGTTTTTTGGCAGCCAGTTCTAATTGAAATGTTAAGTTTGGAATATTATTTCTGTACTTTTGACAACAGTGGGCATCATTAGAACAATCCACAACATTCAACCTGCTAGTTTCAGAGAATCATTTCTCCAAAGAGCTGTTTGAAAATACAGGCCGCATGGTGTTTTATGTCAAAAGCTATTGTATGCTTGTTCATCACGGAACTTGAAACTGAAGAATATTGCCAGATAACTCGAAACGGCTTTCTGAAACTCTCAGATAAAGGGATTAAAACATATTTCTTGATATGTATATTTAATAAGAAGTAAGCAGTACAAAGTTTCTGAGGAACATTCTATTTCTGCAATAAATGTTCTTGTTAAGAGGTGTACTTAGAACTTCATTTCTTTTTCAAGATATAATATGGGCAAGTTTAAATACTTCTACATAAGTTTAAGCCTTAACTTTAAACATGTTTTGAATATTATGCCATTCTTTTCTCTTTAATTTATGATACACAGACTCCTGTGTGTACGTCCTTCTATTTAATAACGATTTTGATCTCAACTGCTTATCCCCGAAGAAAAAGGAGTTAAAAAGAAGTTGACCATGCTCCTATAACTGAATTTGGAAATGTATCTCTTCTATTTATATACACGTTCATAAAATTTCCTTTTAAAATAATAAGCTTACTTATTAATCTATAATAAGCTTAAAATTATAAGGAGCACAGAGTATGGGAAAGTATCACCTATAAAGTTTCACATGTGAAATATTTCCAGAAATTTAGATGGAGATGTGTCACGTTAGCAGAAAGCATTGTAGGCAGCCAGTGTAAATTACTTCGAAGTTCATAACGGATGATGGTCAGTTTAACACAATGGTCTGTGATAGCAGTTGTCCTGTTTGCAGAGTTGCAAAGCCTGAACTCATGAAATTGGTTAAGAAGAATATAAGACCCCTTCCAGACTGATAAAACAGTTGAAAATTATGACTGTGATTGACTTGAGTTTCCAAGAATTCCTTTTGAAATTTATGGTTTCCTTGCTCTCTTATTTGCTATCTTTTTCTGTTGACTGCAGCTGTACTCAGTGTATTAAAGGAGCAATTCATGCATGTGAGCTTGTGTTGTGTAAACAAACCAGACCTGCATAGGGTCACTCACATCAGTCCCAGCTGGCCTGAGGGCACGTGGGCCTGTGCAGTTGGCTGCAAGCTCACATGGCATTCACTGTGGCTAGAGGACAGCTGCTGAGTTAGTTTTGAGACAAGACCAGGCTTCAGCAAGTTTACCAGCCTGCACAGCACTGAGGAGCCCTCTCCAAGATGGCATGTGGATTTTCAGCAAGGCTGACTGCATGTCCAATCTTCCTCTACAATCCCCACAGCAGCCCAGCCTTTCTCTTTAAATGAAATTTTCAATGCCCAAGACTTCTTTTTGTCCTCTTGGGTTGCTTCTCGTCAATCTTTCTACTGTTTAATAAATGCACCTTCTTTTCAATACTTATATGTGCTTCCCTCTCCTCTCTGTGCTACAGAAGAAGTGTTCTGTATTATCTCTGCGAGGCAGTTACAGGATTGAGGGGAGACCTGGCCTTTAACTGTGAGCACTTGCTTACAATTCATGACCCACATGGATTATCCTGGCTTTGTTTGGGACAGAGCTGAATTTCTTCTTAGTGCCTGGTATGATGCTATGTTTTGGCTTTAGGAGGAAAACAATGCTGATAACATTTCAATGCTTTAGTTGTTGCTGAGCAGTGCTGTATAATATGAAATGTTATCCTCATAAAGAAAGTGAACTTTTTTTCGATTTGCCTAACAGTGGGGAAGAAGTCAAACAAGTAGTACAGAGTGCTAATGGTACAAAACAATAGTAATAAAGTATTTCCCTTAAACAGGCAATAAGAAGTCTAGTGATTTGATTTTTCTTTCATTCTTTATATTGCCTTTTCATGTGTAGTATCTTTATGCTGAATCATAAATTTGAAAAACTTATATTAATAGATTCTTCTTTTTTTAAATTCTTGATCAATACCAAACAATCTGTGTACATCCCAGATGTTGATCAGTGCATTAACAATAATTATTTCACTTAGAAGTCATTTAGAAAATCAATTTATAAATTATAAACAAAATAAAATTATAAATAAATAAAATATAAATCATACAAATCATGGACTAATAAAGAACACTCCCTCTACCCACCTCAGATGTACATGTATAGGCATGTAAATAATAATAAAACAAATCAATAATACAGTATATACAGAAATTAGATGAAGTAAAAATAAATACTATTCACTTTTTTTTTTTCTTTTTTCCAAAAAAAAAGTGATATTTTTGAACGTTAGTATGTCTGATAGAATTACTCAGCTTCACTCAAAATAATGATACCACCATATCATATGAAGGTACTGGCACACTTTCTTTGTTCTTCTCTGCTGTTATTTATTTCTTCAGAACAGAATGTATTTTGTAAGATAAATGTAATATATGTCAATTAGACAGAAGTGAAATATTCTAAAACCTTACCAATAATTGCTGGTGCTCATTTACTGGTCAAGGAAGGAGAGGAAGAAGAAAGGAAATAATAGAGCTACAGGTATCTGCTATAAATTGCAACACAGTATCAGTGATTCCATAAATGATTGTCTGCATCCAGATAATACAGATGGAATAGACTGCAAAATATTTGTGTTTCCCCGAGTCGAATCTGAACTGTTTTGAGTAATGTATGAGCATACTCAAACAGATCCTAAACGCGATTACATACTATGAGTCAGAAAGCTATAATAGATCACTGGGAAGAGACAAAGACATTGCTTATTCCTGTGTCTTTGCAGTAGTTGGATATTTTTCAAGTTACATACTCAGAAGTTTCAAAGCCTTATTACTTCAAGTCCACATTGTGGAGGTTTTTCTGTTATTTCTTTGTTTGTTCGTATGTATGTTTGTCATTGTTGCTGTTAACCACTTTTTCATTATGAAGAAATCATGACACATTTGTGTCCTTTATCTCTTATCAGAAAAATACTGATGCTAATTCTAGGGAAAAAATAAGCAGAAGATCCTTTATTAGAGGTCAAAACACCCAAATCAAGCTCTATTCCTAAAAATTGAGCCTTTTTAATTTTGTATTTATTTATTTATTTATTTAGGTATTTTTTAGAATTCTCCTAGTCTTGTTTTTTTCTTCTATCTTCTCATATAATTTTCACAGCATGATTTTAAAGTTTAATACACTCAAGATCAAAAAGGCTTATAATGAACCTGTCAAAGTTATTGCTTGTAACTTACTTTTAAAGATATTATCTCCTGAGATTGTGGTTCCTTCTTCAGGTAGTTCTTCCTGAGATGTTACAGAACCCTGAAAATGGAAGTTAACAGTTTTGAATAACACCCAGTGGTAGCTGCTGTCCTCAAATGATGGATGAAATGTCCAAGTGAAATTAGGTCTTCATCTTGCAAAGAAAAAGATATTTTTTTCTGACTTAATTCTTTTCTTCTAATATGAATGAGCCTTTTGGTGTATAAATGCATCTTTCCATTTGATAATATGTTTTTATTAAGTTTAACAACTACTATTTTGAAGGCTAGTAGCTTTTAACTGTTTTTGTTGGGAACTCATTAAAATGGAAGTTTTGAAGGGTTGAGCTGAACAACCTCTGTATTCCACAATGAATTTTACATAGGCAGGCATTCAGCCAGTGTGTGTAAGGAATTATTTCTCACTGTCTCTTTCAGTGCAGCAATTCGGACAGCAGGCTGTCCAGAGGATTTCCTGCGGTGTGCTAATGGCCTCTTTAGGGAGAAAGATAATGGGGAGATGATCTGATTTAGTGCCACTGTCCCTAACGTTTGTAAATCCTGGGTTATACTCAGCAGGTGACAGAACATGGTCCTTTGTCCTTGATAGCTAGCAGAAAAGATCCCTCTCTGCCTTTCTTGTCTCAAAATGAGGAAAAAAAAAACCAAAAAAAACAACAAAAAAAATCCCATACTACATTTTTCTGTAGTACTTTCCTCTACCAAACACATTGCATGCAAAGACAGATTTTTTCTGCTGCTTCCTACTTTTTTCTGTAAATAATGTAAATATTCTCTCTTTTTCTGTAAGAGTTTCTGCAGTATGACCACAGCTGAATTCAGTACTAGATCTAAACAGCCTTCTTCTTAGGGAGAGTCAAATTAGAACCATATAACACAGGCTAGTATAACCAGAAGGGAAGACTTATCTTCAGTAATGCAATTAACTTGTATCCATATTTAAACTATATAACTACTATTATTAATGTACACCTTAAAACTAATTTTTGAAAGTCATGATACATGCCACTTTGTGAATTTAGATATTAATTATTCAGGTATTTTTATATTCTGTCATGTAATTCCTTATATAAACTTATTTTACTCCTTACAAGCTTGGTGTGCACTGTTTATGCAATCAGCTATTGAGAAATATAGAAGATATCTTTTCATAGGATGGATTGGAATTTTATTTTATATTTCTTCCACAGTAGATTTAGTCCAGTTTTAACTGATCACAGTGTAGCTCCAAATGTATTGTCAGCACTATATTTCTTCATGCAATATGTTTCCTGTTATATTTTTTTTGTTATTTCATGAAAACTGTTTTTACTCCTTTTTTTTTTTTTTCTTTTTTGAAAATCACTACTACTGAAAATAAATGACTTGCCTTGTAATCCATCCTCTAGATACCAAACAAATCAGAGCAATTCAATGACTACATGACTGCACTGTAACTGTACAATGTAACTATCTCTGACTAATCCTAGTGCGATTCTGGCATAATACCTAGCTCATACTTAAAGTAATGCCTTCTATTTATTTCCATGGAAACTACGACACAAAGAGCACAATAAGACTATTTGACAGGGCAAATTCTCAGCTACAAAACATTATTAGCACAGTTATCACCACCAGCTATGCATTTTTACCAATGACAACCAAAGCCTGTGAGCTATGTTTGAAAAAACCTACATGGGTGTCTGGTATGTGGTTTGTCTTTCTCATCAGTGTTGCCACTGCTGAAATGCACCCTCCACTGCCTCACTGTCCTAGTATGGCCGAAACTCAGAACTAGGTGTGGTAGCAGTGTTTTCAGGTGATGTTATGTATACTACATTCCGTGTTAAAAATCATAATGTATTGATTCTGCAATGAAAATTACTCTGGTAGTTATGTATATATTAGCTTTCCATGTTGCTTGCCAAGCTCCAGGAAAGCCACAACATTAATTATTATGTATCAATCCTAGCTGAGTGAAATATTTCTAAAGGATGTGCTCTTTGCTTACTTTTTCTAAGAAACATCAAAGGTTTGTCAAGCACTGACATAAAACATACAAATCTATCTGGACATTAATGTTTAAGCTTCTGGCAAGGTTATGTTCTTTCTTTACAGAGGCTTTAACAGATCCTTCAGTTCAGACAAAACATCAAACACTCTTCCGAAACACTGAACCAACTCTGCAGAGGTCAGAACATGCCTGAGACTGTTTGGAAAATGCTTTAGAGTTTCTAGTACAGTCGGGAGGAAAATCGTTGTGCAGAACCTAAAATATCTTTTCAAAAATAGTTTTGAAGGTTTGTTTGTTTTTAAACAAAAATAAAAGCAATAATGAAATTTTGTTTCTCAGACACATTTGTGCAAAATCAAATCACATGACTCAACCGGTGACTCTAAAGGACATTATCAATTTACCATGTTGTAATTTTTCAGATGGAGGTTTTTGTCATTTGGATGCAACATCTAAAAACTGCAGTGAAAAAGTAGAAAAAAGTAGTCTTCTTAAAATATTTTATATTTTAAAAAGAATAGTTACAAGGGGCAATCTGTATATAGTTAAGGTAGTTAGGAAGTATTCCATAAATAATTTAGGATAATAAGAAGCAGTGAATCATGCATATACTGCAGTGATCATGTAGGACCACAAACCAATAGGGTATATTCAACAAAAATGCAGCTCAGAATAGCTCACTGGCTCAAGATGACAGCACTGTAGCACAGAGAACACTTGTAACAGAGACTTCCATCATTACCTAGATACAAAACCCTTCTCTTTGAAAGAACTAATTCCTTGTGTATTACCTGATGCAAAGATACTATGATATTGCAGAGGTATTAGAAAATAATGGCAATCATAAAAAATCTGTCTGTGAGTGTCCTAGATTCCATCCTTTTTGTTTAGTTTATTTGGGGATTTTTTGGTCTTTTATTAAGGCAATTGAAATAAGACATTCTTCATTGGGGTAAACTTGTTTCCTCTTTCCCTTTTCCAGATGAAGATAGTTGACAAGTCTGTCTGACTTATAATATCAACTTTAGTAAGAAAAAAGCATTTATTGATTCACATGGACTGGCCTGTCTGCTTCCATCCAGCAGCCCATCCAAAATTTTATATCAATTTCCACACTGTGATGAAACTGTAGTTACCTGCTTTCTTCTTTTTCTCGAGTGGGAGCATTTGCCATTAAGATCTGCGGTCAGCTTTTCTTTAATGCTTTACAAAGCTAAATAGTTTCTGAAAAATCTTATAGGTAATTGGAATAATAACAGAAAAAAAACATATTTTTTTCCCCTGGCAATTATTTCCAGAAGACCAGGTCACGTTTTCTGAAATTACTACTTACCACCGTAAATAACAAAATACATTGTTTACAACATTCATCTTCTTAAGTTATCAAAGACAAATGGAATTTCTTAGGCACCAACAACTATATTTAATTTCAGAGATCAGTGAACTGTTTGGTAACCTATCTATCAGGAAAGATAATGGTTCTTATAGGTCATTCAGAATAAACCTAAAAATTTTTGGTGGTTCTATGATTCTACAATACTATGGTCTTGTGGAAGTTGTACAAAGTGAAATGATTAATTATAGCAGAGATTTGGAAGTGTTTACTCTTCAAAGTGTAATCTGCATCTTTCCACTGAAAAGCTAGGAGAAATTCCAGTATTTTTTTATTGCCAATCAGGAATTTTTCAAGTTGTAAAAGAGCAGATTAGCAATCTTCTGTCAAAATTAAAGATCACCACTGTTCCTGTGAAAGACACTGCAGCAGAATAAGTGATAATTTTACTTGAGGCAAAGAACTTATTGTATTGTATGGGATAGTGCAAGGTCTCATCAGTTTAACCCTGGAAAAATCCCTGAAGCACAAAAGCACAAAATGTGCAGTGCAACATATTGTTAAAAAGATACAAATCAGATCACTGACTCAGCCTAGGATCTAGGAAAAAAAAAAATAAGCAGGAGAGATGAATGTGAGGTAAAACAAAACTGCTGTATGTTTTTAGCAACTAACTCCTACACTTGCAATACTGATTGTGATATAATATAACTATGGTTAGAGCAAAATACGGAAGATACCTGCTAGTAAAATTGTCAGACATTACAAGAGGCTAACTTTATTAAACTACATTTTATTTGATGATCTTTGTTGTTCCTTCAGGATATTCTACAGTTCCACAATTCTATGATGTGCATTGGTTCATGTAAACATTAATTCAAGTAACTGGGCGTACTAATATTTTCTTGGTTTTGTTTGTTCATTTATATCTTTCTTTTTGGAGAGTAGCATCAAAGAAGAATCTTGGGGGAATGGAAAAAGAACAAGTTTTAAGAAGTGAATATTTGAAGGGAGCATATAAATAGGAGGGCGAATGACTACTTGTGAGGGTGGATAGCAATATGACAAGGGGGACTGGTTTTAACCAGCAACAGGGGAGGGTTATGTTGCATATTAAGAGGAAGTTTTTTACACACAGAGGGTGAGGAAGCAATAGAACAGATTGCCCAAGGTGGTTTTTGATGCCCCATCCCTGGAGGCATTCAAGGCCAGGCTGGATGTGGCCCTGGGCAGCCTGGTCTGGTGATTGATTATCCTGCACTTATCAGGCCTTTGTAGGATGGTCTTTCTCTGAACATTCACACTTGTTAACTGGGGCATTCCTAAAAGGCAAAATAATGTCATCTAATTTATGTCAGAGTTTCTGCAGCAGAGCAGAAGTAAAATTTGCAGGATCATTGCCTTAATCTCATTACTTTCTTAGATATTCATGTGCCTTCTGTAAATGAATATGCATTCACTCTAATATGTAATAAATCCTCATCATTTGTTATTAAAGGTATATTTTCTTAAGTTTTATTTTTACATATATAATTTTCAAGTTTTGCTGAACGCCTCAGAGAAATCTTTTACATTTATTTTATCTTGTTCCTGTGAACCTGAATAAGAAGAATTTCATGCATTGGACACACACTTTGAAACAAGTAAGGGAAGTCTTATTACATGCAAGACAAGCATATGCAATAGAGACAATGAGATTAAGAGGTCCCAGGCA